TATTATTATTATTATTATTATTATTATTATTATTATTATTATTATTATTATTATTACTATTACTATTACTATTATTATTATTAGATTACTATAATTATCAAATTTATTTTATTTTATTTTATTTAATCAGCAAATCAAACTCATTACGAGTTTATGGCTCTCTGTTATTATCAAATTATTATTATTAAATTATTATTATTATTATCATTTGTAGGTAGTTATGTTATTATTAGTAATATCATGGAAGCAAACACCCGAATCGACATGATACAACGAAATCATCCGAATGTCTGCTTATTTCAGCTTGTCATCGTGGCGCCATTCCTAGCTATCGGCCGTCATTTCAGTGGTTTGTTCTTTCAACAACAAATCAATACCAATGAAAACACACAACTCTTGTACAATCCACATCATACCGACAATAACATCGTGACCATATCGCTACCGATGACCACATTCAGTATTCAGTTCATTCTTCTTTCATCTCATAAAAGAAGGTAGCAATTAAGGACAATTCGTCAAAAAAAATTTACAATTGCTGATATGATCGGTATCGAACCTAGCTTATACTGAATCATATGTGAGTTTAGCTTTCAAAAACTGATAACAGCGCTTGAAAGCTGGAACACTGAAGCATCTCAATTCCAAGAAATGTCATCAACCAGCATTTAAGAGTCTCACTATTAGATGGACTAAATTTGCGCAAAATTTTCACTCTCCAGTGAATTCAGAGCGAGCACGAATTCAATTCGATGATCAAATAATCATTCGTCATTAATTAGTTCTTCGAAGCGCTTTCCTTCAATCCGCCAACCCATACGCCACACATCAGAGCACTAATACACGCAAGCAGACGTGCTAATAAGCATTACGAGACCCAATAATGAACAGAATGGATCAAGTAATGCACGGTTGCATTATATCCTTACGTGACTATATTCAAATGCGGAAGTGATATCATTCAGAATTGGATCGTCCTGATTATTGAATCCATGGAAGGCAAAGCAACTGTTGCCAGCTTAATATGGTGTAACGATCGTAAATCAATGATTAAGAAGTGAGATAGTCTCATAAACACATGCGAATAAATATATTCGCAGGGAAAGCAATTTGAGGTTGCGATAACCTCTCGGAATCAGACGCATTTTGTTGTTCGTTTGTTTGTGCATGTGACTGCTAAGTGGTTGACTAAAGAGTGAAGAATGAGAGATGAGCTGAAGTGAGGTGAAGGTATGTCTCGAGATTGTTATGCTGTCTCATTGCATAACTTTGTAAATACTGAGTGGATGTCAACAAAAACAATAAGTTAAACAAATCAACGCCAGACTGCACCACAAACATTCACATCAAACTACCGCTTCTCTTTTCATCCAAATAATATAAACAAATCATTGTCATTAACCGTATTACTCCTCTTCACTAGCCCCCCTTTCTTTTCCATTATGAATCTCATTACTTGTTAACTCAGAAGAAAATCTTCCGCGAATGCGATATTCAAATCCATTTGAATGTAACATACCTTTCCAAGATCCTCATCCCCACACAGATAAATCTGATTGTTTAAGAATTCTGCAAAAGAACGCCAATCCATGCCCTCTTTCATCAGTTCAAATCACAGAACATCAAATACTGACTAACAGACAGTCCCGTGGTATTGTTTACATTATCCAAAAAAACTACGGTCCCATTAGATAGGGTGTTTTGATTTGTTGTCATAGACGATTGCGAGTACGAATAGCAAAATTGCATTCGTGATAGGCCGATACTAAAATATTATGGTTACGTTTGCAAAAGAATTCCTTGTTTTTAATCGGGATCGCAATTACAGTCGCATTAGGCTTGTATTGGAAGCAAGAGATTGCAGACGTACGTTAGTTTGTTGTCGTTTGCTGAGAAGACGCACGATACGAATCAGAAAATATATGGTGAGCAAGCAATGAAAACATTTTAAGAAATGATTGATTCCATTAAAACTCAATCAAAATAGCAACACGCACACACACCTACAATCAATTCAACAGAAATTCCATCGTACCTTCATCACTATTGTCTTTCTATTATTACTGTTATTATTTATAAAATTGCTGTTCTATTTTCAGCTTTTGAACACAAAACAAAAAACAAATTCCTTCTTGCTAGGCCGTTGTTGTGTGAGAATTATAAGATAGGACTTCTGAAAGTGCAGATGTTGTTGAGCGATAAGAAGTGAGCCAAATCACTAACAGAAGGATGAATCACTGCTTCGCTAGCGATTACTGCTCTTTGTTCAGGACAACACAAACTAGACGAGTACGCATGCACAGGAAGTGAGTGACCAATGTAGACTTCAAAAGTCGTTTCAGCAAACAGTACACGCACCAATAACAGTAATAATGAATAATGTCATATAAATTTCCTCTGATCAGCAATGAACACAAACGAATAGAGGAAAACAAAAAGCAACAACAACAAAAATGATCTAAAAATAATAAATGAAACGAAAAAATGACTCTAAGTTTCCAGCCGAAGTGTTCGTTAAAACTGCGTGTAAGATTCATTCAGTTTTTGCACTTATAAATTCAGTTTACGAGAGATCATCGACCTGCATATCAATTGTGCGCCTTCATATTGTATACGTCATTACTGCAGAACAATGAAAATTAGACTCACTGGAAATGTTCTTGTTAGCAGTCAAGTTTGTGGACGATCTATCGAGCTTTGTTGCTTTCTCGGTGTTGTTGACCGTTGCGGTGAACTCAGCCATTCCATTCGAGGTACACGGTGAAATGCAGTTGCCTCAAATATTGAATGTGCTCCATTAACGGATTCAATAACAACCATTTTATAGAAATTGATCAAATGATGAAACGATTGTTCTCAAACGACTATACAAGAACATGCATCACTCTCTGCCAGATCCTGAATTGACCGCATTCACTTGTGTTACACATTGAACTATTGCATAAGCACCGCGGTCAAGAAGAAGTGTGAACGATCGCAGAGAATTATCGCGGTCTCATCGATATCTTCGCCGATGATCACGTTCATTACCAACGAGGAACTGAGAGATCGAAATTCTCACTAGTTACATGAAAGCTAATCTTGAGTGAATCGCCGCTAGCTCTGTTCTATTGTTATATTCGAACATGATTTTATAACTATGGAATTTTTGGGTTGAATTACTACTCCTCAATCAGTAATCTTTGATGAATGTGAGAAAGTCGTGATAAAATGTATACTGAATAACGATCTGTGAGAGAATTGCTTACTGAAGGGAAAAGGTAAGAACCGATAGGTCTCATTAATATCAAACGTACTAGAAACAGTAAAAATTCCTGGACGAGTCAATTTTTCAGCAGCAAACTGGTGTACCTGTCTCATAAATCTGATAAAGTGAATGAAATGAAACGAAACGAATCAAGTGATCCAACAACTCCTACTGTAGTAATACGAGCGCGAAGCAACGAATTTAATAAGCTAATTTCCAGTTCAAATCTCAAAACTATTCCCTTTGCAGAGTATGAGTGCAGCAAATCAACAACTCTTGCCACAAACTGCATATTGCAATTGCCGTTACACAAAACAATTGGAATAGAATCTGAAAAAGACTGAATGGTTACAAATAAAAGTTATTTAGTATTCATGTGCTGCTGGTGATGGACAAATGTATATGACGAATCTATTGTTTGTATGCGACGACGTTTGCGGGCACACAACGGGCATGATGTCTGATACGTGCACCAAGTGCAGCATCACCACACTCTCGCAACAAAAAACAACAACAACTACCGAAGTCATCAAATAATTCTGGAGCTAACCGTACATGCTCTGCATGGATTACTGTATCATTCGATTACGGTAAGGCAAGCTTGAAGGTCACTTATTCGTGAATTTTTCATAGTGATTCGCATCTGTGAACTTTCGATTGCTCAGTTGGAATGGTGCGGCACTATTTCATGACGAAAAAGATCAGTTCCGGACGTGCCATTATGGTAAGCTTAAGCAGTCGAATGCAACACGATAATACAACAAAACTGAACGTCTTGAAGGAGCAGACTGGAAGAATATTATAGCTACATGATCAAGTTCAGACCTTTTTTACCTCTTTTTGATAGATAGACTAGTCTGTGCTCAAAACGTGACGCAAAGCAGCATTTCATAACACCTATTGGGTTTTTCGAGGTTGCAAGGATACCGCAAAACTGCGTGAATAGTCTACGCAACACAACAGCAATTCATCAAATTCACACGATTCGTTACATTATGAAGTTTTGCACATTTTGCAAAACATTTTTGAAAAATTCCTTCGCAACGATTGCGGTACGACCAGTTTGATAGTGAGCAACAAACAATGATTCAATGCATCGAATGCGACAAAACGACCGACTCATTCCCCATTTTCAATGCAATCAATGAACGAAACGAATCGCTTGGAGAAATGATAATGATACAGTTCAACATATAAGTGTAATGTGTTCATGACGGATCACAAAAAAGAATCGAAGTGAATTGAAACGAAAGGAATTTATATTCGAAACAATATTCCAAAAATTTGATCGTTTTATTGTCAAAGTGATGCTTCGCACGAGTTTTTCAAACCGATGTAATCTTTACATTCATTCAAAATTGTTTTTCAAATGTCAAATTGTGCTTATAACCAGATGAATGAATTGTTTAATTTATCGCTCGTTGCATACAAACGCTCACACAAAAGTACAGATACCCTCGCGAATATAATCAACCAAAGTAGTCGAATTACACTTTTTTGCAATGTAACGATTTTATAATTTCAATCTACGACTGAAATATTTTCAAGATTTATTAAACTCAATTGAGAGATTTTCAAATGATTTCGGAGCAATCAGATGAATTCGATTTTTTCCGCAGATCAGGCTATCTAATATTCAATCAATCAATTGGAGAATCCATACGTCGTAAGTCTGATTCAGGAGAAATTTATTCAGGAGAAAAATTTTCATTTACTGAATTTACTAAACGGATCAATCAACTGAACTGAGATTAGCAAAACAAACAACATCTTGACAATAGATTTTCACCTTTCGGAGCATATTTGTTGGGCATCCAAATTTCGTCTTGCAAGCAGCATGACGTTAAATTTTGTAGTGCGGGTGGTGGAGATGACGATACGAGGTCGTTGGATATGGAGGGTCCTCCATTCTCTGCTAAGGATTCATCGAACGAGGATCGTTGCTGTGGGCGTTCTACTGTTGATGGAGGCAGTGAATTGCTTGGCGTTCGAGGACACAGACCTGAAGCTGATGAATGGTGATGATTGAAATGAAATGAAGAGGACTTTCGTGAGCTGCGATGCAGTTGTTCTAGGAAGAAGGCGAATATCGATGTAACTGCAACGAATCACATTTGTCGGTTCAGAATTTCAATCGTCTCGATTTCCAACCGGATATTTGCGATTATTCAAACAATAGAAATGTTCCAGCACTGACCAGGAATCCTTCTCAAACAAGCAGAATCCGTGCTCAAAAACGGACAATATTCGTTGAGTCCACTCCTTTCGAGAAAGGAGGAGAGCGAGAGCTGCAACCGTTGCTGTCCAACAATCGCAGAGCCCGCTTGATCAAATGTAACAACGAGGTAAGACACAGGAGGAGAATCAACCTGTTTGCATTGATGATGTTAGAAAGCCACCGTAAAGAAATGGTATGCCCATGAGTGCTGAAGGCGGCTGTGAGTCGGTTGTGATCGACGAGACATCCGAAGAAGAAGTGGATGAGAAAGCTGATGATCTGCTGCTGGCTACGAAACTGTTATTCATTATCACTTTCCTGAACAAACCATTCTTTAGGCAATCTCACTAGCTAATTCATCAATAAAACGAACATTTCCATTTGACATCATGTATTTATAAGCGCAATCGTCGCAAACAATAACGCCGTTCTCATTAATATCTGACATCAGTATCAAGAAATAACAACATATGCTATGCTACGTAATATGCACTAAAACACATTGTAAATAAATGATTATTTTTGACATTTTGATAAGTAACAAGGAAATGAAACGGATTCATTGCAATCGAAGGAGCATATGGCAAAAAGTCACTAGCCGTGTACATTCATTTTGCTTTTCACTTAATTATTTACTGATTCTAGATGAGAATCATTTTCATCTGGTTGACTTACTGAGGTATGTTGATAGACACGCAATCAATTATTAATATGAAAGCGATGGAATAATTCACGGGATGGCATAATCCAGTTGTATATCTAAATTATTGTCAGAACAATAATATGATTTCTGACATCACTCGAGTCAAGTCAAAAATAACAACCATTCATAACAATATGCTCAGAAGTAATCGAGATCTACATTCTAAATAAGACTGCAAGCACAACATGATAATAAGATTGAGGCTTCGTGCTGTCTGCATCAGAACACGACAACAAGATCAGCACCACAACGACTCTGCATTAGCTGATCATGAGCTGAGTATCACTGCTTAGCTATACGATGCGATCAACGTGCAAAATAAGGCTAATCATAAAAGAAGTGACACTTATCGTTAGTCTTTAGTAAGAATACAGTGGCTCATAGACTGATAATAATAATGACGAATGTCAATAAGAATAACAACAGCGATTGTAGTGATCGCAGCCTGATATAAACAGATGAAATGGAATCGAATAATGATAGAGAGCACCACTCAATTATAGTTTATCAATGGTAAACAAGGTTAATCTGGAAAGCAAATTCCGACTGAAAATTGTGATAAGTCTTTAAGAAAGAAATAGAGTGATCCCGTAATACAAACCATCAAATGATAATACTCATGATCAGTACATTAAACAACTCAATGAAAATGACGTGGGTCAATCCATTTTAAAATTCCATCGGATGCAGTATCAGCAAGGATTACTGCATACATAAGTGAGAAGTGCATTTCATTACACAATACCCGTCTTCTTAATGCGTACACTGATAGGCCCTACAGAAGTGATCGCATAAATTGGTCAGACGGTACTACGATTACAGTCGCAGTTTACATGCTCAAGCTTGATCTTGAGACACGATGGGGGATCTTAGGAATGACGGAATAGATCACACAATCAAAACAGCAATGATAACATTGAATGATAATTGTGCATGATATTTTCACTGAGCATTTCAGGCAAATCTTGACTTTAACAAGGCTAAACAAAAGTTGAGTTTCGTCAGCACAACGCAACTGCTGCAATGTTCCGATTGTTCCCTTAACATAACGAAATAACGGGCGGTCATCGGCTTTGACGGCCAAAAGAGCATGTTAATGCTATTCTATTATGCGACGATGATGATGGCCGTATATTGCAGTTAATTGCATTCTCATCATCTCGTCGTTGATGATATCATTTGACGCAATTCATTCACAAGTCTCTGTGTTCATTAGTTGGAGCTTGATAACGGGTGATCGAAGTTGACACTCACTAATACCGTTACATGCAAGCATTCAGTGCTGAGTTGAGATTAGCCCTGAAAAAGGCAGTTGGACCCGTTGCATGTACAACTGAATTGGTCGAGAGTAAACGAATCATGTGAATTCGAGTTTTTTAAGGCTTGTATCGATGAATGCGAATGAAAATAACAGCAACAATCAAAATATTGCCGATAATATTAGCGTACATATGGGTAATAATAATGATAGTGACAAGAAGAACGATAATAACAATGACAGCAAAACTTTTAAGGCAGAATCTTGGAATACGTAGCCTCATATGGCTTATTATAGCTTATGATGAGATGCTGCAGGTCGNGATAGTGACAAGAGGAACGATAATAACAATGACAGCAAAATAACGGAAACTTTTAAGGCAGAATCTTGGAATACGTAGCCTCATATGGCTTATTATAGCTTATGATGAGATGCTGCAGGTCGGTTTTTGACAGGGAAACTAATTTCTACAATGAGGTTGAAAAACAGATGTCAATAAGAATAGCAATAGCGATTGTAGTGATAGTGGTTGATATAAACAGATGAAATGGAATCGACTAATGATAGAGAGCATCACTCAATTAGAGTTTATCAATGGTAAACAAAGTTAATCTGGAAAGCAAATTCCGACTGAAAATTATGATGTCTTTAAGAAAGTAGTAGAGTGACCCCTTTGCTGTAATACAGACCATCAAATGATAGAACTCATAAGCAATACGTTATACAACTCACTTGAGTCAATTCATTTCAAAAGTCCATCGGATGCAGAATCAGCAAAAACCAGTGTATCCCTGTTCGAGTAGAAGTGGTCTGCTTGCTTGAAGCAGGAATAAAATATGCCAAAAGAACTTCGAAAATACAATCAACAAGATAATATAATTGAACGATCAACCACATAATTAAACGTTCCAAAATGTACATTGCAATGAACAATGTACATCAACGATTTACACAACAAGTAGCAAAATTCAAGATATGAAATATTGCTGTTAGCATTGGTATTGCAGATGCGAATGAAGAAAGTGGAAATGAATACTTCAGACCGAGACGAGACAGAATACTTCTTGTTCTCATTGCTGTCTGTTGTTCTGGTATTTCGGAATTCATTTATTTGAAGAAGGATGGATGGAAGCATAGATGAATGTTTATACACTCGCTCGTTGCAATCTCTTACAGTTTGATTGCTTGAGCATTTTGGTCTTGTGTCCTCTTGCTATAATGACGCATATCGGGGGCTGAGTGATGCTCATACGAGAATGATCAGAAGTGGTGAAGTGGCACAGATACTCGACAAAAAACGACTGATGATGACAATAAGAAACAAGAAATAACTGGTTGGCTAGTGTGTTGATTTAGTGGGGATGATTGCTCAATTACTTAAGTTGAGAGCATTTATTCAAATCGTTCAAGTCGTTCAAGCTCAGCGAGAGTGAGGAATCGCATTCAGATTGCACAAGAATACGAGACGAATGGAATACTGAATGCTTGCTATGACATAATGCTCATTCATTTATTTCATCACATCATCATCGAGCACTATGGCTAGCGGGTAGAGGATGGCTGTTTTATCAAACTAATCATAAGACCTAGTAAATGAGTACAAAAAGCAGAATACGAGAAAACTTTTTAATGCTGAAAATTTTAATAAAATTTCCTATTTGGTGAACTCCTTTAAAAACTTAATAATTATAAAATCAGTGCAACTAACGTAGGATGAGAAGTTATATTATTTCAAAGAAGGGGACTTATCGGGAGATATTCAGGAAAAAAAACCAAAACGAGCAATGAATGTTACTGAATTAACGAGGACTTCTGCATCAGAACAATATAATAACTAATTGAACAACTCACCTTCAGTCATTCTTATACTCCTTATCCCATTCGTAATAATACCTTCTTCTAGTAGTTTAGTCAACAAACAAACCGCAACTGTATTTGTTAATGAGCAGATTATACGAACTCGATTATCTAACTACTTACGCAATCATATATACTTGAGTGTCATATTTTTGAGTTATTGATGACATCGACATTGTGAGATGGATGATGCATCTGTTTGTTTTCAACGAGTGCGGCACGAACACAACCCAGTTCAGAATCGAAACGAGAACTTTTCATGAGTGGTAGACGAATTCAAAGATTTAGCACAGCGTGCATTCAGTTATTTAAACCGATCGAAGTTGACACACACGTCTGGGTGTTTTTATGGCAGTTTTGCATCATTGTCCAGGCGGCATAGACTAACGAGACAGGTAGAGTATCTCGTATCACCATTGACGTAGCAATATGATGATTTCGAAGAGTTGCGGTCAGCTGCCAGATTCCGATCAAGTTATGGCAAAGATACCGAACGGTCTATCGCAACTCTCTCTCTCTCTCTCGCTACTAGTCCTGCAAATTCAATAGATTCAGTAAGTTCGCACTGCAGATCACATCGAATGTAATCGCTAAACGAGGTGTTCTGCATTCAAACAACACGTTCAGGTTGTCTCAAACTGTACCACCAAATCAACGTCACACCGTACAACGTACAATAAAATGAGTGCCAGTACCAGATGATGACGGATAAAAGCACAACGATTCAATTTCTGCTAAGAGAAGTTCACTTGTACCAGACACGATGAATCGCCGACGAAACGATGAAGTCAAAAGCAGACAGCAGCATTACCATACCACATTTCCGCACTCGTTGTTGTTCTCGCTTTCGGTTGCTCATGCTTTGGAAAGGCTGCTGGTGCTGTTGCATATGCTCATGCATATGACCACCAAATATTCAATCCTAAGCCATGCTGATATAAGCTGCCACCTTCTATCTAGTATGTTGGCTGTTAGCATCATCACTCTCGAGGACAAACACAAGAATCGATTTGCAACGAATGAACGAATAAACAAATAAATGGATGAATAAATGAAAAAAGAAAAAGGAACGAACACAATACGCATTGAGAAGAGATGAGCGCCATCTAGTCCACTTCTTCGTCGATATCGACTGACCAGATTTTTGTAGATGCATTTGTAGATGGATGAAGAGATGGATGAACAATGAATATCATGTGTGCTCAGGCTGAAGTTCAATCAAAGTAGTAATGTCTCGGACAAGTGCATGTTTTCCCGAACTCCCGAACAACGACCACTTGCAAACTTCCTCCATCCGGCTACTGCTATTAGTCGACCTCAACAATTAACATAAAGCATGTGACAATAATTATGGAAGAACATCGAATAAAACAGAATGAGTGGTCTTTTGTAGATGTTAAATATACTCGTTCGTTAGGCGAGTACAACTTAAGAGCGGTCGAATGAGACAGCAAACAGATGCACTTTTTCTGACAGTCTCGTTGATGCTA